GTAGTGTAGGTGTAGTAGTAGTAGTAGTAGTAGTAGCAGCAGCAGCAGCAGCAGCAGCAGCAGCGGCAGCAGCAGCATCAGCAGCAGCAGGAGGAGGAGGAGGAGTAGTAGTAGTAGTAAGACTGATATGAGTCTTCGGATTCTGCAGCGATGCCGTACTTATGCGCCTTCAAGAGCCATAGCCTTGGTAAGCCTCGAGTGCACTTGCCTGCCTAACAAGGGGGATAAGATGATGGTGGTGATGATGCTGGTGATGACGGCGATGCTGATGTTGAAGGTATACGGATAGTAGCACAGTGAACCGTGGAAGTCTGAACCGGGAAGGGTTTTCGCGACCTGACCTTCGGGGGTAAAACATGGAAGGCGTTACCTTTCAGCGTCCATACTGGGGTCAAGCAATCGGAGCCGGGCCTGCTGCGGTTACGCATTTCGGAGCCGGGCCTGCATGCATCCAAGCATCGACCGTTGCAGCGTCCATACCGGACGATGCGGAATTTTCTGTTTCAGTCCTTTCTTCTATCAGTTGTTGTTTTCAAGTCTGAATGAGTCTCGGTCACTATGTTTGGCCGAGAATCAGCGCATCTCACGATGGGTACGCGGATCTTGGGGTTCTTGAGGCCAGCGGGAGGCTCCCAGAGTCAAAACTCCCTACGCGGATCTCGGATATTATATCGCGTCCGCTGTTCGAAGATGGCCGCTTCGGCTGTGCGCGTGCAGATTGTCTTCATATTGCTTAGGAGTTCTTATGCGGCAGCTGCAGCAATGCAACAACAGAAACCAGCGTCACCTTCGTGATTCGCTAACAAATTGCACCAACAAGAACTATTCCGTGCGACAACGACAAGTGACAAGTTTCGCGAGCTTTCGTTAAGTTTCGACGTTCCCGGCAACGATCAAACATCCAACGACACCTTGTGGATGAAGGCTTGCGTGACGTGTACAGTCTGCTGGCGCTGATGTGTAATTTCTTGAATCAGGGTTCACGGCCCTGACGTGTGGTAAACCTCACCCCGCCCCCGTAGCGTTAGAGGCCTGCGTTCACTGGACACGGGACCTTACTAGTCGTCTGTATTTGGCGACCTGGGATGGCCAGCGTTCAAAGGGGTAAGCAAGAAATTTGATAATGATTGGGAGTCGACTGTGTCGCGTTGGCTCATGCGTTTACATGGTGTTTGCAAATTCCGGTCGTGGCTTCTTCGCCTTCGCCTGAACCGGTGCGTTCAAGGGTGTCTCGCAGCTCCCGGAAGGGTCGGTCTCGCCTTTCACTGCTACCTAGTACTTGTGTATGACATTCGAAGCAGAAGGGTTGCGAGGATAGTAGCGGTGCTTTGCAATAGTAGTATACTATAGGGCTTTCATGTAGAATGTAGCAGCAATGCAGCACCGACAAAAGCAAAAACGAATTACATTGTCAGCAGCAAGATGAGCCACACAAGCCAGCATCGAGTTCGTTCTCACCACCAGGAGCAGCAACCTGAGCATCCTCATAGCCATCGTGGAGAATAACCTCCAGCAGCAGCAGCAGCAGCAGCAGCAGCAGCAGCTTCAGCCACCACCACCAACACTGCCAACACCAGTACCATGAAGTCACGACCAGCGGTGACCAGCATCGTCGTGATGCACAATCATCAGCATCGCCACCATCGGCATGGTCATCGCCATCGCCACCATCATGACTAACATGATAATGATCGGTAAGTTCGTGTATTCGCCATAATCTCCGTCCGGATCATCGCTTGCAGAGGTTCTACAGTTTCAGGTGTACTCCGGACTGCTTAAGCCCCCTAATCAGCCCCTGTCAGGCTGCCCCAGATGCACTGCATGCCGTGGTCGTGCCTCGTTTGCCCTTTGCGCAGACGGCGCAGCCGGGAGAAGCGCAACTTGACTCGGGGAGATGGGGGAGGATCAAATGAACCACTGACGGAACCGGTAGCACCGGCAGCTACAGCAACAGTTAAGAACAGCGCGTTAATTCTTGTCATCCGGTTTTTTGACCTTTGCTGCATTTTGCTGCCAGAGGCGGCGGGAAGGGAGGGGGGGGGGGGTCAGCAGCAGCAGCAGTATTAAAAACACAATGCAGCCCTGAGGTTCCCAATGAGTGAGACAGCTTTGTTGACTTCGGAGTCTATGGTCAGATGCTTGTTGCAGTGGTTTGGCAGAGATTTGTCGAGACTTGCCGGTTCTTCAATGTGCAATGCCTGTCCGCGCAAGCCGTTTGATTGAGATTTCAGTATACGGAGGGAGGCATAATGCGGAATGCAGCTGAACCTACACGCACTGCCCTACGCGAGGTTGAAGAACGATGCCGATACCCTCGAACTGGTACTAGGTAACAGGTCCACTGACAGATGCAAGCATGCAGTGATTTTCTCTATGTTGGACTGGTCCAGGCAAATTCAATATCGATAGACGGTCTAGTCGGTCTAGTCATGGCAGCCACTGCGCGGATCGAAGAAGATCTCTCGCAGAACCGTTTCTTGCAGGTGCTTCGCGCCAGCTTTGAAGGCATATACCGGCAGGCCGCTAAGGGAGGAGAGAAGACGGTGGTGCTGGTACCTTGCGCAGACTGCCTGGAGGTGGAGCACTTTGCACAGAACTTTGCAGAAACTCATCTCCTGCACGCGACATGCGTCCCTGGCTGCTACATGAACCTTCTTGGACAAGGTGTTGAGATCAAGGACAGCAGTGTGTCGACTCGTCTCGGTTTTTCTGAGCAGCGCGTCTGTGAAGTCTTGCAGAGCGAGTCGATGTACGATGTGGGCAATACTTTCCGGGTTCTCGTGATTGACAAGCCGCTGATTGGCCGTCACCGCCCACTGCCGGGTGCAGCCGACCGTGCCAAAGCGACTGCTGAGACATCTGAGCTGTCCGTTGATGACATGCTATTGCAGGCTCCGATGATTCAGGGCGATTTCTTCGACGAAGTGGACCGCTTCCGAAAGACCTTCGTGCAGGTTGCGGGCTGCGAGGGCCGCACGGCGGAGAGGATTCGCGAGATCGTGAACGGCGCGGTGCAGCGCCTCAGCCGGCATCACAAGCTGACGTCCTCCTCGCAGCTGCGACAGCTTGAGTTCACAGTGAGTCGTCAGGCCTACACGGCATTGCACTCCTTCGTTTTCCCCCATCTGCAACAAATCCTTTCAACCCACGAAGAGCGGCTGCAGAAAGCCATTCGGTCCTATGGCTCCGTGGAGGACGTGGTGGAAGCCATCCCAGGTGGCGGTCAAGGCCTCGCCTTCGTAGATATCTCCGAGGCCGCGAAAGAGCTGGAGCTCATGGATGGCAAGATCGCCCCTCACGAGCATCTCGGAGGGAAGGCTCTATAAGCCCTTTTAGCAACCTAGACCCTGTTTCTGCCTTTCTGCGTTGAAGCTTGCAACCTGGACCTGCTTTCGCAAGAGCAAATCGACAGAGGCCCAAACCTCAATTGCACAGTCGTGGAGCTTGGCAAAGGTGTTTCTGTATGCCTGTATGTGTTGATGCATAAATATGGGGCAGATGTTTGTGTGCGGGTGTATCAAGTAAGGAAGTGCATCTATAAGATCTTGTTGTATTTGCATACATCTTGTGTGTATATGTAACTATGTATACAGCATGTGTGTAGGTGTATTCGTATAAATAGGTAGGCAGGTAGGTAGGGTATGTATGCTCAATGTGGGTACGCCCCTACGTCGGTGCGTGCATGGGTAAGCGGGTAGGCAGGCAGTCGGCAGGCAGTCAGGCAGGGAGGCAGGCAGGCAGGGAGGCAGAGATAGGTAGGTCGGTCGGTCGCTCGGTCGTGGGTAGGTAGGCAGGTAGGTAGGCAGGCAGGTAGGTACGTGTATTCTATACACATGTCGAAACATGTACACAGATGTCGTGTGTTGCAGCTGAATAGATCGATTGTAATCTATTTAATATATCTGTGTCTAGTGCATGCACATGCGCACTGCATGTTTATGCCCACACACCCAGAACCCTAAGCCCTAAACCCCAAAACCTCAGGAAGGTCGAGTGCATCGACAAGGCCCACGGCTCACTCCAGCGCTGCATCGCCGACTGCCTCCAGGAGTCTCCAAAGCCCGCGGCTCCAATCGAGATCACAGGCGACGATGTGCTGTCCTTGCCCCTTTGGCCTGGTTTTTTTGGGCCCTAAAAAAGCCTAAACCTTGAAACGGGGTTCATGGGGGTTCGGGTTCAGGACCCTGAGCCCTGAACCCTAAACCCTTTGCCCGATATGAGGTTAAGGGTGTTTTGGTCAGGGGGTTGAGGCTTCAGGGCGGGGATTGGGCTTTTGGGGGGTTAGATCCGCTGTTTGGGCTTGTGGGGTTCTGGGCCTGACCCCGTGGTTTGATCATCTACAGTATACCGTGTACATGCGGCAAAGTTCTTCTCAGGCGGACTTTCAAAGACAGTCCTGGTTTTTTTCGCCATATATCGAGCTATCTATCTATCCATCTATCCATCTATCTATCTGTCTGTGTGCATGTGTTTTTTGTGTGTGATTCTGTGTGTGCATGCAAGCATGCGTGTATGTATGCTGTTACACTATTAGATGTTGCCCGGCATGTTTGCGGTATTGGTCCGGTATTGGTATGTCATGTCAGTTCAGAATCTTTTGTGGACTTAAGCCGCTGGCTCTGTATGTAAAGATACAACCATGCAATCACAAAGCCCCAAGGTTCATCCTCGTGGTGTACCGAAGCCAGGCGCCTGTGTCATGGACGACTACAGAGATGAGCTTCCGTAGTGTTGGGGTGTCTCTGACCTGGGGGTCCCTGCAATAAGCATCCTGCGACGTACAAGTAGGATTTACATTCGGGCCCCCCATTCTGCAGAATCCAGAAATTCTCGCATTTGCCGATGCAAGAAGAAGAAGATCATGCCCAGCGGCGCGGGGTCCTTGCTGACCTCCGATGTTTGAACCTCCAGGTGAAGTCTTTCCTTGCGCACATCGCCCACGTGGAGATGTACCTGCAGGCTTCGTCAACCGACGGCTTTTCACCCCGATCCCAGTCCCAGCCTTGAATCCGCATGGTCCCTGGAGCTCGAAACCCTCATCCCTCGGCTTAAGTCCCAGCCTCCCAGGCCTAAACTTTCAAAGCCTGGTACAGCCCTGAGGCCTTCAGAGGAATCTCAAGATCCCTGAACCCTAAGCCCTCTATATACGCACCCTGCCACGACCCCTCAGCCTTAGCCCCTCGAAACCCCAGGAAAGCCCAGTTAAGGAATATACCTTAAGTTATAGTAAGACCCATAGTATGATTTAAGGTATAATTATTCCTTAATTAAGGGACCCCTGAGCTCCAATACAGCCACCCTTTGCTTCCAGGGCTCCTCGAGCCGCTCCGGGGGCAGCGAGGCCTCTTCGGGACCTTGCGGGGGTAGTAGAAGGAAGGCTTCTATAAGGCGGTTCTGTAAGGGTACCATAACGGTTCTGAAAGGGTACTATAAGGCGGTTCTGTAAGGTACTATAAGGGTTCTGAAAGAGGCTGTCGGAGCTCGTTGCGGTTTTTTTGGGGCTGGTTGAGAAGGCGGGCCCTGACAAGCCCGACCTCCTTGTTTTTGTACACGAGGGGATCCAATCCACAGGCATCGCAGCAAGGTTTTAGACTCTAAGCTCTCAAGGTGGCACCTACCTTCAACTCAAGGGTGACGTGGAGTCTCAGTGCTCTGCGCTGAATATCGCGTTGGAAGGCCATTGCGCACGATCAACACTCAACCCCAACGCCAAACCCCGACAGGTAACCCCAGGCCCCATAATGCCCTGGCCGCAGACCCCTAAACTCCTGACCCCACACCTTTCCGCCAAAGACTCTCCAGACCCAAGGACGCCAATGACACAACCCTCAAACCCTGAAGCCCTAAACCCCTAAACCGCTAAACCCTAAACCCCTAAACCCCTAAACTTCCTAAACCCCTCAACCCTCAACCCTTTGTTCCAAGCGGCTGAAGCCCCAGAGGCCGCCCGCTTCGAAGAGACCGGCTACGCCGTCTCCGCCTTGCAGGCCCAAGCTGTGGACTAGTGGGTCTAGGCGCAGTCCAGGTGTTTCCATAGTTTGTCCCTTTACCTAAGCCAAAATCTACTACTTTCTGTGGGGTTCTTGAATTGGTTAAGGTCTGTAAGAGTCATGAAGGTTCACCCAATGGTCCCTTCCTAGTGGAACCGAATAGGGGGAACCTCACAGGGATCTTGGTGGTCTGTGTTGCACTTCGTGGATTTTGCGGCCTTCAGGGAGCATGGACGGTTAAGATCTGCACATGCCATTCTTGTGTTTTCTAGTTGTTTATTTGCGGGGAAGGTGTCAACCTTCTAAGCTTGGGCACCCTGACCCAACTGAGTCCGAACTACCATGCTCCCTGCTAAAAAGGCTCCTCGAAGCCCGCACTCAATTCAAGTCTTTCACAACACCCTTCTGGCTGCAGGGTGAAGTCACCTCTTTGACTCTTGCAACACTCTGAACCCTAAAAGCCCCAAAACTTGTAGCATAATATTCCCCAACACCCTATTCAAACTGTTAAGGCCCACCCCAAACCCTAAACCCTGTAGTAGAGAGGACCCTAGATCAAACCTAGGCCGGTCTGCAGTTCTTCCTCGAGGAGGGTCGGGCAGCGGCAGCGTCGGCTAAGCCCATGGCCTTCGAATACCTGCCCTCTGGAAGCAATGTCATGGCAATGGTCCATTATAGTGTAGTAATGATACTAATATTTTCGCATATCATAGCATATTATCGTACATTGTGGTATATGGGATCATATTTATTTATTTTGGGTCGAGGAGGGTTTTACAAAGGGGTTTCTTACTATCTCCTCGCAGGGGGCCGTCCTTGTTAATGATCAGGACCCTACTATCTACTGTTAGGGTGTTTCAAAATCAGGGTCCACTATTGTCTGAAACTACCGGCTTTTGTGTTACTGTGTTGCTTTCTAGATTGCCTGGCCATGCCTTCCTGCCATGATATTATTCGTCATGCAGATCTTAGTCAGGTTGTCGACGTGCATCATTATGTTACACTGTGGCTATATCACGATCCCAATCACTTGCGCTTGATTCTGCAGCTACTTTGATGCCATGGTTTCCTCGGCTTCCCTGAAGCACGCGAACATGTGGAACAATGGGCTTAGGTTTCAGATAAGAACGTGTCAGGAGTTGGTCTTGGGGGTTTTTCTGGTGCGGGGAGGGGATATAAACCCCCTGAACCCCTAAACCCTAAACCCCCAACTAATCCCAGAATCGGCAGCATGTTTACGTCATTTTCTGGGTTTCCTAGTTGAGGCCCTCGGGTGGCCTGGCGGACCCCGGCGAAACCGGTCTCCTGGGCCTGGTTCGCCAGGCTCGGGCACAGGCGGCGGTGCGTTAGCGGTGCCAAAAAAAGGCGGTGCCCGTGCTTTGGGGGCCTCTGACAAACACTAGACAGAGTCTCATAGGGCTTCGTTGGGTTTATAATGATGGTGGTATTTGGGGTTAGCATTGGCCTTTTGGTGTTGTAGAGCCGTTTTCGAGAAGGTTTTTGCGTAGGGTGTACAGGGACTTACATGGGTTCAGTCCTTGAGCATTGGGGTTTACGGCTTGGGGTTTGGGGCTCTGTGGATAATGCTATGTTAGACGGATGACGAAGTAAGGAGTTCCCCAACCCAAGTGTCTCATTGGGTTTAGGGTTTATAGTTTATAGGGTTTAGGGTTTAGGGATAACCCTGCTTGCAACCTGGCACGTCACTTTTGAAGACGTGGGGTGCAAGTAGAAGAATTGAGCACGGAGGCGCTGACAGAACCCGTATAGGCCCTCGTGAAACCCCATTAAAAACCCTTGAATTCTTAGAAACCTCTTACAGACCCCGTGTACAAACGATAAACCGTAGAATCAGAACTCTTACACTCCATAAACCGTTATACAAACCCTGCCAAGGCATATCCTTCTGCGGCCTCCTGTGACCAGCGCCTTTCGGGGGATCTCCTGGCGCGTGACGGGGCCTCGGCTCCGCTGTGAGGTTTCGCGGTTTCTGTAGGGTTTTGTAGGGTTAAAGCCTAAACTCCCTGAGCCCTAAACCCTCGGCCCTAGACCCCATTGCACTTCCTTGTTGGCAACTGCGGCCTACTTGTGCAGATGCTGATTTGATGGCGCAGCTTTGGTGGCTGATTCAGGGTGCACAGACTCAAAACCCCTTCTCGGAGTGTGCAGATATAATCTTCGGGTGGTGCAGACTCGTACCGACCTTGCCTGTTTCCGTGTGTAATGCATCTTCCTGTACTGTTCTGTCGAGTCCTTGCACTACTGCCCTAATCTCTGTTGCTGCGATGCCTGCTGTTCGGGAGGCTTGGGATGCACTTTGGGGTTTATGGATTTGGTATCTGGTGTGAGCCTCCCGAAACCCGCCTCAGCCAAACTGGCATTCTGGATTCCTTCGGGCAGACGGAAAAGAGGTATCAACAAAAGACGAAAACCCAATCCGTAATCCCTAAACCCTGGGAAGTGTACGCCTTAAATGATGTGCCCAAGAAGACTTGCAGAATGCCGGCAGCTGCAAACCCGACCTAGGTTTGCACCCAAGAACTACGGCTGGGACTTCACGGATCGTGGCTTCTTCTTCAGGACCGCGTTGTGAGTTCTTGCAGTGTCAGTGGCATGTTTTTTCTTTAGAGCTCTGCAGCTCTTGCTGTACTAAGTTTTGCTAAGTCTGGTGATGTTGCTTATGTTGTTAACCTGTTACATGCTAGGATCATTGCTCTTGTAGTGCATAGTCGTAGTAGTCGCTGCGCCAGCATTTAGTTATTGTTGTCTTGACGACTTTGCGATTCCGAGTATCAGTGCTGCTGGCTGCCATTCTTCTTGCAATTGCTATCATCTTCAGTACCGTAGAGATCTTGCTATCTACTTTGGGCAGAGATGCGGGCTTGATGATTATGTAAGCTCCCGATCTAGCATGATGAGCGGGGCTTGTGTTGGCTCAAACATCCCTTGTCTTTGGGCCGATGGTAGCCCTTCGAATCTACCCAAGTCCACCTAAAGAGACGGAGTGCTGAGGCGTTATAAGAATGGAGAGCTCGGGTTCTTTAATAGGTCAATACACAATGGCTTTCATGGGTAGGGTAGTCCAGAAGGTATGACATGCAAAACGAAGGTACTAAGAGTTGTCAGCTATAGGCTCTAAGTCTAGGAGCCCGACTATCTGGCAGTAGGCAGAGAAAGGCATGTTTCATGAAGCTTTGCCATGGGCTTGAACGCAGAGCTAGCAAGTTGCTTGAAGAATTGCAACGTGTCTGCCAGGCAGTCCGAAGTCCCCGGTGCCACAGCTGACCTTCCCGCGGCTTGCCTAAGTTGAAAGATGTGTATTATTTGTTTTATATTATATATTGTATATTGTATATTACATATTGTGGTGCGGGGTAGCAGCATGCGTGGCAGTGATTCGCTCAGACGAAGCAAGTTTGAGTCTTCCGCAACGAGACGGATCCAAAATTGGACCAGGATTTCCGGCATCAGCAGGCCCATGACAGTGCACCGCGATACCATGTCAGTCAACCTGGAACCGTTCAACCGTGTTGGCCTGCCTTTTTTCCAGGTGATTCGAGCCCCTGCAGCACCTCGCATTCCGCCCCTCAACTCTCTGATTTTCTATGGTCGCTCTGGCTGCTTTGTTGGATTGGGTGAAGCGTGTTGCAAGAGCGAGTTGCTTGAGACGTAAACCGCAACCCTACACCCAAACCCTAAACCAACAAATGTCTGGACCCTGAAGCGTATGGGGCTTGCAACTGGTGCCAAGTCCGGCGGCCTGCAGCAAAGACCGGCGTCTGGCACGATCCATCAAGACCAATCAGCGCAAAACCAGCTACCAGAGTAGGTTACGCCCTGTACGGCAGGGGCCGACGAGAATCCAACACCTGGGTGGGTGGTCAATGAAACCTACGGCTTCCGCCGCTGGTCAGCATTAATATGGGGATCTGCCATGCGATGGCCATGCGAGAGATCTTGCTGCCCTGCTCGCATTGTTGTCAGGTTTTTGATGTTTGCAGGCTTGGTTGAGATTGCATCCTAGGCCAAAGTAGACCCACTGGGTCCTACGCCCGCTTTGTTGCTTTGAACCTGAGATACTCTTGGGATCAGCCGTGAGCCGATAACTTCAGAAGGGCAGCATGTTGTGAGCAGAATCGGGTTGTGTCACCAGGGGTAGTTTCAAGTGTAAATCGCTGAAACCTGCTGGTGATAACAGAGGTTTGGTAGAACGGCCTTACTGTCGCGAGCGAGTCTTGCGCCCACCCTCGTCGTACGGGTCTTCAAGACCGAAGAGGCAGACCTTCGGCTCGGCCAGTCCGAGGTCTGAACGTGAAGCCATGCTGAGAAAGTAGCCGAGGTGCTGGCCTTCAGGTTCCTACGCAAACCCCCCGGCATGCAGTCAACGAGTGGGTTGGCAGCTCAGCAGGAGGGACCAAGAGCATCTCGACAGTGACTCGACGGAGACTGTATCTTTGTACCAAACTCGCGCATGCAAATGTAATAGTAAGACTGCGTTGGTCTGTGAAGTGCCACGCCTCGGTAGGCAGGTAGATAGGCAGAAAGTAGGCAGGTCGGTAGAAGTAGGTAGGCAGGTAGGTGGGAAGTATGCAGGCACGTGTGTACACCTGCACCCAGGCATGCATGCAATGTATGCATCTATGCCACAAGTGCGCACATGCACCTAGGCCGGGTGTATGTGTGCGTACAAGCATGCTCGATCATCATGCGTGTGCACGTGCATGTACTGTTTAGATGCATGCATACGCATGCATGTAGGCATGTTTGCAGGTTTGTTTGTCGGTGTGTCGGTCCGTTTGTCCAAAATTGCGTTGGTTTGTTCGTTAGTCCGCCTGTCTGTGGGCTTGTGTGTTCAGACCCCTTGGCCAGATCGTGGAGTGGGGCTTCGACCAGAGTGATCTTTCCGATCGGCTTGCGGCTGCCATTGCCCCCGCCGAGGAGGCACTTTCGAGTTGTAGTGCAGGGGTCGCCAGGGCAGGGGAGAATTTCCACGGCCATTACGCACACAGACAGTCGGTCAGACTCACAGCAATAATCAGTGTTAAGCCGACCTCCACTGAAATCACCTAAAGTGCATCGGCGGGCAAGACGAGCAATACCTGTCGATACCAGGTAGTGCGCGACTTTCGTCGCAACAGGCAGAATACAGCAACAGCAAGTTATATTGAGCATCACGATAAAGGCATATAAAGGCTGACAGATTTTAGCTAAGGTCTTTGGGCCACAGGACAAAGAGTCACAGAGACGGGTTGGGGGGTTCGTGTCAGGTGCGCGCGGTGCACAGCTTCCGTGTCTGGAGCCTCGGGGGCAGCATCCAAGGCCGGCAACTGAACAGCACACCGGCCGCTTAAAGTAGGGGCCTTAATAATTAGAATAGGGTTTTGGGGGTTCCTCATTATAACTATAGTATAAGATACCCCCAAACCCTATTCTAGAGCTTACTGGAGGGTTTAGGATATAGGGTTTTGGGCGTAGCAGTGGCCTGAGCAGTGTAGGATGTTCAGGATTACAGTGCCGTTCAGTGGGGCCATGTGTGCAGTTGTGGCAAGAACTTCAACGTCTCATGACGGTCGTTTTGGATTGCCTGCTCTTCGTGTTAAGTCTAGCAGTCTAGCATCTAAAAGCCGGTAATGCGCAGGCCAGAGTGGAGAGCTCTTGGTGGAGTTCGGGTTGGTCTCGGAGGCTGCGAGAGCGATGCTTCTACGGACAAGGGAGAGAAGACACATTCCTGATACTGGACTGACACCAAGCCCCACTCCATATCACATCATCTCTCAACAGCTGCTTTGTGCTGTTTATCGGCTGCTGTACGGAAGGTGCCAAGTGTGCGTGGAGCTTTGCAATTGCGCACACCCCAAGGCACCAGCCGTTTGTCTTCAGCTCGAGTCTGCAATGCCACTCATCGGGTTGCTGTCAATCTTGGTCGCGGTGGTGTTCTGCAACTAGTCGTCGCAGTCGTAGTAATGGTGGTAGTAGTCGTCCTCGTCCTCGTCGTGGTGGTGGTGGTGGTGGTGGTGGTGGTGGTGGTTGGCGGGGTGGTTGGGGTGGTGGTTGTTGTTGTTGTTGTTGGTGGTGGTGGTGGTGGTGGGCGGTGTTGCTGTTGCTGTTGGTGTTCCTCCTGCTCCTGCTGCTGCTGCTGCTGTTGTTGTTGCTGTTTCTGTTGCTGCTGCTGTTGTCTTTGTCGTTGTCGTTAAGGTTGTGGTTGTGGTTGTTGTGGTGGTTGTTGCTGTTGCTGTTGCTGTTGCTGTTGCTGTTGCTGTTGCTGTTGCTGTTGTCGTCGTCGTCGTTGTTGTTGTTGCTGCTGTTGCTGCTGTTGCTGCTGTTGCTGCTGTTGCTGCTGTTGCTGCTGT